TTGCCCCTTGTCCTGACTGCTTTGAATCACTGATATGGCCTGGAGCCTTCTAGGAGCTGACGTGAGCCTCAAAGCAGCTACGGCTGATGGTTCCCCAGGATTGTGAACCTCCCCGTGACAGCTACCAGGCGTTGGATCCATCCCCAGCCTGATGCAGGGCTTCCACCCACCACGGGCAAGGCTGGTGAAGAGGCACGGGGTCTGAGCTCTGCCGAGCACCCCGATGGAGCCGGCTCCTCCAGGCTCCGTGAAGAAGCAGCTGCGGGATTTCTCCTCCTTCATTCCTCTCGGCTGAAACCATCGCTGTGCATCCAGGGCTCTGGAAAGCTGCCGGTTTTCCTCTCTATGAGTCCTCGAGGAGCTCCAGAGGGGAAGCTGTGATTCACTTTTTCAGTTGTACTTTTACTGGAAACTTGAGAACATCGTACGTTGTCATCCTTCCCACCAGCCAGCAGCGTGCCTCGCAGCGAACGGACCCCGACAAAGCCTCCACGAGCAGCGGGAGGCAGGAGAGGGGCCTCGGAAGAACATCAGCTACGTTGAGGTTCCAGGGAGCTTTGGGGCTACACGTCCAGCAGACTCATTACAGGGCTTTCTCTTCTAGAAACTCCATCTCTATGCAGAGAGCAGGAATAAACAGAGAGTCCCCACACTCAGATTCTCCAAGCAGGCTCAGCAGAACTGCTTTCCTGGGTCCCTCGGTCTCCAGCTAACGGGAACAGACCCGACCCACCACACGAGCACAACGCTGCCGTCTCTAAAGGAATTTGGGTTCTCCAGGCCCAGGCACGCCAGTTGGCTTCCTCCTCAGCCCCTCGTCCTTGCTCTGCCAGGGCTGTGTGGAGCACAACAGCCCCCGGAGCTGGGCAGGGGGGTCCCACAGCTGCTATTTCAAAAGAAGAGCTGCCATCCCCGAAATACCTTCCCTCCCCAGCCAAGGGCCCAGCAGTGCCACTGCTGCAGCACCGCACCGGACGGAGGGGGAAGAAACCGCTTCTAGGATTTAATTTCGGCAGAAGAAACCAAAGCTGAACCTCTGCGGATTTATGCCTTGACACCGCAGTCAGGGAACGAACACAACGCAGCAGCCCCGGGGTCCTCGGCTGCGCCCGGGGCCAGGCCGACGCTGCCAGGGCCCCCGACGCGCCCAGCCCCACGCACAAACAGTCCCAGGGTCACTAGAAGAGAACAACAGCATCAAAACTACTTTTTTTTCTTTTTTTTTTTTTTTTTTTAAAAAAAAAAAGGTCTCAACACACATGAACTCCCCCCTGCACATCACAGGAACACGAACACACTGCTCCCACGATGGAGGAGCCAGAAAGCATCCTTCCTGCCTGGCAAGAGATTTCTTCATTTGCGTAACTTAGAGGCAACTTCACAGTGAGAGAAAAAAGAAAAATGATTTTTACCACACGATCATCTTTATCCATACATTTACATTATTTGAAACTCTGAAATCCTTCGCCTCCAGTCAAATGCATGCACGTTTTGTGGCTAAAAACCACCATCTCCATCCCACGTTTCTGCCAGCAATAATTCACCGGGCTGCGTCCCACCCGGGACCTTCTCCAGCCAGCGGCCACGTACCTGCCCTCGCCCTCCCGCGCAGACCCCGAGCTGCCTTGGCTGGGGCTTCCACAGCCGGGAAGGGGCTGATTTATCATCAGGGCCCCCTGAACCGTCCTGCTCAGCCTTCGTCAGCACCATCACCACCTCCCTGCCACAGCCCACGTGCCAGGCGCTGCTCCAGCCTCACGAAGCCCACCTGAACTCCCGGCCTCGCGTTCTGGAGCCGTCAACCACGACCCCAGTGCCCAGCCCTCGTTACAGGGCTGCCTAGGTAATTCCTCACACGTTACACCAGTACCCACGCCAGCACCGGTTACACAAATCGACTCCTTTCGTGAGCTGGCGAGGATTTTCCTCCACTGATTTCGGAACGGAAAGGCTACGGCGCTGCTTTGCCATCCACAGCCCCGCGCATCTCGGGGCAAAACGCGACCCGAGGAAGGCAGGGACAAACCGCCCGTGAACTTCAGCGGGGACAGGGGTCTGGCCAAGGAAGGCATTAGGGAACGGGGGTGCAAAGGAGGAGGGAGACCCACCCCAAAAGTGCTTAAAGTCCTTGGTAAAGGACAGAGTAGAGATTTTTTTAAACAAGAAATAAACATTAGCAGAGCCCGAGAGCAGGGGCAGTCTCACAGATCCCAGCGCTGACTGTGGGGACGCAGGGGAGCCGCAGCCCCCGACACCCTTGAAAAGCTGTCCCATCCCCTCCCCGGCAGCTTTCCCAACGGGGGCCTGG